CTCATTTGCTTTTTATTCTTATATAATAAAACAAGCTACCAAAACCAAAATATAAATATAACGCTTTTCATGTGCATTATTCCTGATATGATAAATGATCCTTGAATGATATATGATGGTTCTTCATAGATTTGTATTATTATAAATATTTTGATTCGATACATTATATTTCATTGCGTGAAGTAAATAATAATGTGCATAATTATAAAATGTTTAAAGTCCATATAAATAATATTTTTAAATTACAACAAAATTAACCAAAAATCGTTTTTTTTTCGTTTGAATTAATACAAAACAAATATATGATAAATTTGATTACGTATTTTTTTTTAATTCATAAATAAACTACCGTATAGACTTGACATTTTCATCAAATATTTACATTATCATTATCTACACATTATAAAATATAGAATGACAATTCAAATATTTTGGCTATTTTTCTGTTATGTAGAGGCGTTTGTAAATTTTAAACATTTATATGTTTTTTTTTATTAATGAAGTAATTTGATTTTTTTTTATTGCTATTTATAATGCAATTGTTTTTTCGGGTTTTAAAAATGTGATACTATGTTCCTAGTAAGTTGTTCTTAATGAGATTAGAAAATATCAAAAATACTTTTGCATATGTTTTTATAATATGGTTCAAAATAAAGTCACGAAAATTAATTACCTAAAAACCATTCAATAGTATAAAATTCATAATATTTTAAATGTTATTTTAATAGCTGTTTTTTTGAAAATGTAGGATAGGTATTTAATACAATGTTATTCATATACTGTTCCTGAAGCAACCTAAAAATATCAAAAAGTAAGCATAACATTAATAGTTTAACATAAAATGAAGATCCTAGTTATTTTGTAATATTATTTATAGAGTTTGAAACTTTTCTACATTGCGTATATTATTATTTACTAAATTCTACTCGATGGACTTTTTAAAATATTTAGACCAGCTATTCTCAAATTTCTACGGTATACTGAATACTGAAATAAATAGCTTACAATTAGTCTTGTTATTATTTCTCGATCAAAAAGCCTCATGACATTGTCATTGTGTATGAGAGAGAGGTTCAAAACGGATAACTTTTACTCAAACCCTGCAATATTTGACAACATTTAAATTCAGAAACCAATTACCGTAGGACCTTGAAATTATAACTCAAATATTTATAGTAGTGTTTTCTATGTATATTGTACATGGCATAATTTTTTTTTTAAACCATTTTATGCAGACATTCGAAATGTTCAATATTTTTTACTTAGGCTGAACATATATTCTAAAATTTCTCATATAGCAGTTTTTACTGAAACTCACAATCTAAGCATTTCTATTTCAAATATTTTTTTCATACACATTTTAAGTTAAAATATTGACAAAATTGTATAACATTTAAATAATAACGATTTTAGTTATTCAGTATTCTGTTTGTAAATCATCTGAAAGACAACAATATTATTATATGTTACTTCCAATCTTGGGCTGTGTAGGCTAAAGCCTAGGGTGGCAAATTTTTTTCGGTGTGACCCAAAAACTACGTTGAGATATTAGTAAAATATCAATGCCTATGTAAATTAGGCGGTAAATTTATTTCAGCCTATGGGCGGCAAAAACCTTAATTCGGCCCGGCGTCCAATGAAATGTTCAAAATATTATAATAATTTAAACTGTATTGGTAAAATAAATTATTATAAAAGCATTATAAATACAAAATAATATAAATGTTACAGACTTATGACTGACAGTCTTCATTCCAAATCGTTTTTCATGTATAAAGATTTAGATGGATTACTCTAATTGTCCATTTTCTTTTTATTGACTTGTACCTGTCCTCAAAAACTATGACAATCTCACTACACATTTTTTTATACTATACTAAAATCAAAACAGAAGAAACCGTGTCATTAATCAAACATATACTGCTTACAATGACTTAATTTTCAATGACTTATCACACTAAATCCTACTGTAACTACCCTTCAAAATGCATTCGTTATATTGATTGAAACTCTTCAAATGCGTCTGATCATGTGTTGAAAATCTTAGATTCTTCCACCAATGTGTCATCGTGCTAATTATGGAGGAGTATATGTAACTACTATGAATTCCGGTCTACTAACTTTAAAAAAAACTCTGTTAATTTATATGCTTTATGACAAATCAATTATTATTGTAAACTCTTTAAATCCAACTTTAGCTCACTCCGACATCACCTCTCATATTCATATGCGAATTATTTCTTAAATTCTCATATCATCTTTTGAATGTTTCAAAATCTTAATTACACCAATATATCAATACACATATTAAATTCAAAACTGATGAATGGTAATCAAGATTCAAGATATATTTCAGCCAATGTTTATCCTATACTTTGGAATGCCAAAAGCCTAATATTACAAATAAACGAACAAAGAGCTATTCTTACTGAACAAATATTGATAAAGTTCTGAAGAAAACTTCACGTCACACTTTACATTCCAAGTACACAATTATTCAACATAACATTGTGATCATCCGAATGTTTTCCGATGTACATTGTATGCTGACATGCTGTTAACATGTTTACATATGCAATTTTATCGTAATAATTTATTGCAAAAATTTTAGTGTTTAGGCAGAAGTAAGGTAGAATAGTAGGTAGGTATACGATTATAGTATCATTTATAGTATACACAACTGTCAATTGAATTGAATAAATTATAACTATTATTATTTCAGTTATAGACAATATTTTTGTCGTTGCATTGTGTGCATTGTTCAATATTGGTCTACAGATTATTATTAGTATAATATGTAAGTATACAACAAAGAAAATTCGATTTTACTTATTATTTCCTGCGCTGCGTGTTGTATGGCCATTGTGTGTTTACATGAGCTTAAAAATAAATACGACCGATGTTTTCGTAAGTTGATGTTGTCTACTACGCGTATACCATTAGTTTTGTCACGTGATGATTCTGTGGTGTACCTAATATTATATAGATATGCACATATTGTGTTTGTGTGAATACAACATAATATAATATAACAAGGAGTGGGTTCGGAATTTTCTTATTATTCTTTTCCATAGAACTTTGATAAAAGCCTTTATTGAAAATAATATATTTGATAATGTCGAGAGTCTGAGTACGGAATGAAACATGTCTGGCGTGTAAAAGACCAGACTAAAATACGCAAGGCAGGCATAAGTCATCGGGTACAATTATTTCTATATAACCACCTGTAGGTAAGGTCCTTCCAATGAACTGATAACTTTTATTGAAGTTACACTGAGATTACGCATATGTAAGCCAGTTGAAAAATTGGTATTTATTTCAATATTTTATAGATATGATTTTGTTAATAAGTGACCATGACAACGAAAACCTTACGCGAAATTGGTCAGAAGCATAAAACGTGTAATCAGCCCAAAAACGTATCTATGTTAAACAAGTTTTGTATATTTTAAATTCCACATCATAATATAATTGGTAACTTAAAAGTAAATAAATATTAACCATTATAATAATAGGTAAATACTTAAAGCGTAATATTGTTTAAAAAATGTTTTGTATTATCATTTCATCTTCCAAAAAATTTTAAATTTCAAGATGGGGGCGCAAGCCCACACAGGGGAGCTTAGAATGAACCGAAGGGGATATTGACTATTGAGTATTGGGGTAGAACACGATTGAGAACGGTCCTTATCGGCCGTACCTTTTTTAATAGCACATTAGCACGATTGAGAACGTTCTTACCTGTTAACTTTTATGCAACGTTGCCACATTAGTTCAAAATAAAAATAGTAAAAATACAATATACAATATATTATATAAGATATAATATAAGTTATAATTTTAAAGTTGTCCATTATACACCATATATTATACACTATTAAACTACATTACGTTGTTACCGCACTGTACACCAAACAACTGAATTTGGCGATATTAATAATTATTTACAGTTGAATATCTGCAGATACGTACCTACAGTGTACATCTCGTTATCGTATTTAGTATTGTTACTTGTTTAGTTCTGGACGTTATAATTGGTTACTAATTCAGTATATGAGACCTAGCTGTTGTTATTGACGACAACTTGTAAATATATATATATGTATGGTATATAGGTATATTAGTATATATAACGGCAATAGTTTGAGCGTAAAAGCCTAGCTATGATAATTTATTATTGACCGTCGACAGTGTGCCAAATGTCTCTTGTTAATCGCATGAATTGTCGTACATTTTATGAACATATTGTGAAAAATGCCCAAAAAATGTATTTTTAAAAAAAAATATATCATTTTACACATTTTATACTTACAAAACAACGTTTCAAAACACCACAAAAAGATGCCTTTGCATCAAAATCCCAGCCCTAAAAATTATTACTAAAAGTTAAGATAAATGGCAACATCGCTAGAAATATCTTTCTCAATCGTTTGATTTTAAGGTACAAAATATTGTTTCTTTGATCTGCCGACATCGTTCTCAATCGTGTTGCTAAAAAGGTAAAACGTTCTCAATCGTACAACACCGTGAGTATTGACGTTATTATTTTTCATATTACTACAGTAATGCCGAGTGTAATACCCAAACTAATTAATAATGATATTATTAATTTAATTTAAGTAACATTTATGGCTAATTGAATATTGAATGACTTAACCAAGTTCGACCAGTGTGCACGTGGGAGGGGGAAAGGAGTTTAGTAGCTCAGTTTTAAAATAATAAACAATAACACATATATTGTTACATTGTTCTCAGAAAAAAAAACTGTTTCGGGACGTTAACTACGCGTTTGACTGCACGACAATACTTGCCTTTTTCTGTGTTGTCGAGGGGTAAAAGTAGCTATTTTTTGCTCTCCGAATTAATGTTTCTCGTTTTATTACAAAAGATTATGTTGTCCACCGAATCCTCCGAACACTCCACACATACATATATATATATATATATATAGATAGAGAGAGGGATTGAGAGAACTAATGTCGTAATTATATTGTTCACAGGATGACAGATAGTCCGGCCGGAGACATGAGACGGATTCGTCGTCGGAATGATTGACGATGGCGCGTAGAAGAAACGCCTGGAAATCGGCGGTGGCAGAAAAACCCGCGGTGTCAGGTTCGACCGATCGCCGAGCATAGATATTCGAGGGGACGGAGAGGCGGAGGGACTCGAAGAGATATTATTTCGCCATCGCATTAGAATCTGTACGAGAGTGTGAAACCAGAGGGGGGGGGCAAAAACAGTGATCGGCCGAAACGGCTGAGATGGCCAACGGCAGCGGCGGCGGCGGCGGGGGTGGCGGCGGCGGCGGCGGGTTCGAGGCGCTGCAAAACGTCGCGCCCAACGTGTTTCCGCCCATATACATACCGGCCGGGCCCGAATCCAACGGCACGAACGCCATCAACTACAGCGATGCCATCGAGCGGGAATATGTCGAGGACTACGTTTTCCAGTCCGCTTTCTCGTTCGTCTATCTGCTCATATTCACGTTGGGCGTGTTCGGCAACGTGCTGGTCGTGTACGTCGTGTGGGCCAACAAGCACATGCGCACCGTCACCAACATATTCATCGTCAACCTGGCCGTGTCCGACATCATGCTCTGCGGGCTGGCCGTGCCGTTCACGCCGCTCTACACGTTCACCGGTGAGTGAAATTTTATGTCTCTGCTCGACGGCGATCGCGCGTTTTGAACGCACGAGATCGGGCCGCGTTTTTGGGGAGGGGGAGGGGGAGGTGGCGTGAGCAATGGCGACATTTGCGCGCCGGACGGTCGCTGTAGCCCCGCGTGATATTGTATCGATAAACTTTTTTTTTTTTTTTTTTTTCGTACTATGGTGCGGCCACAATGTGATGGCGTCGTTTTTGTCAATCGACAACAACTGATTAGTGCTAGATGTGCAGAATAAGCCAGATAACCGATAACTGGGATACAGCACCTGTAATTATTGGTTGAAGCCACGGGCTAAGGTGTATCATAAATATCTTACTAATATATATTATGTTAGTCCGTGGTTGAAGCTACTGGCCTCCGTTTTGATCGGAGCCAATGTTCGTTTTCACTCGTGTTTATGAGATAACGTTAAAAATTATTTGTATCCGTAAAAATTATATCCATGTTCGTTATCGACCACGTTGTAAACATTGAATAGATGTGATAAGGCCCCGTAGGCCTTTCTTTAAATGGCGGGTAGCTTTCGATTTGAAATCCTAATCAAAATTACCTTAGAAAATTTTAGAAAAAGTTTAGAACCGATTTCTATATGCAAGTTGGCACATCAATGTCACAAAGATGAACTATACCACTGACAATGATGGCTACCGATTTTAGTATAGAATCTTTAGAATTCAGAAGGCAATATTGTGATTTGCGTTGGTACTGCGTATTTAGTATATTCCAAAGTAGACTGTCCTGAAATTCTGTCTTCGATCCCTCCTTATGTCCCTAATATCACTCTACACTCCTCTCCCACGTTTTACATTCCACCGAATAAAAAAAAACTCTTGTACTTTTGGTTAACCGGATGTTAATGATGGGTAATAAATTAAAAACATTTTAAATTTTTTTCAACTGATTAAACAGGTTAAATACTTGTCTAAGACATTAATAATAAACTACCAATAATACAATTTGACAAGAATAACTATTAACTAGTAGTTACATTGTTTATTTATATCTATGTAATTAGTAATTTCTTAATGTATTTTTGTGCTCTCTACACGGCTTTCTAAATCAAAAATGTTACTGTTAATAAATTTGTACAACTTTACATTAATTTGCATTTTTGTATCTGTGATTTTGTTAGGTACCTATTTTATTCTACTTGCTATAAACCTACTCTATTATGCCCTTGGACGTTTATAATTTAAATAAATAAGTAAATAATTGCATTTTTCTACAAATATTTGTATTATCGTTTACTGGTAAACATGCTATAGTTTTAAAAACACTATAGCTCTTGTTGTGTTATTTATAGACCTTTGAAGTTTTCTTAGATGTTTTTTTAGTATATTTTTCAATTTATATATGATACAATAAATGTTATTTGTGGTACATGTCGAATGTAGGTCCCTCGTTATTGAGTAGTTCACTATCGAAGCGTAAATTTGAATTCAACAATAAATCATTGCATACGAAAAACGAGTGGAGTGGATTTGTACAGGGGCACACTGAACAATTATATTGGTCTGCTACTCTGGTCATCTAAACTTTAAATACTTGTTCAGCCTTTGCCTTCGGAATATGAAATAAAAAATGTATTTTGCTAATCAGAAGAGCAAAAACTTTAAAAATAAAGAATAGTAAAAAGTATCATTTTTTTCAAAAAATATAGTTTAGAAACAAAACTTTAAATTATGTAAAAGAAATATTTTGAAAATCGTTGGTGTTTTTAGAAATTAAGAGTGGCTTTCATTAAATGAATTACCCAATAATTATAATATTATATTCCTGTATTTTCATTCAATTTTGAGATAATATCGACTTACCATATAACGGTGTGAATAGGTTCGTGGTGTAAATAGGCAATAGCTTAAACAATTTTTAAGTAAAACTAATATGTTTAAAAAATCATTATTGTGTATATAAAATAAAATATAACTTAGAAGCTTTAAATCCTAACAATTAATATTATTGAGTTACAGCAATATAACAAAAATCGTTATTTTTTTTTAAATATCGAATTTTCTGAAAACTTGAACTTCAAGTGTCTATAGTAAAATTGGTTTTGGTTATTTTTTAAATATTAAAATAATTTTAATCTTAGAAACTTGAAACATTCTTCTTTTACTTGAATAACTATTTTCTATAATTACATATTGTGATAGATTAAGTTCAAAATATTTGGACTAATTTTAAGTTATTTAGGTAATTTTGAACTAAAACCTCTGCTGTAATTCAAAAATATGTATAATTACAAGATTCCACATAACTCTAAAAGTTTATATGGCAGTTTAAAAATATTGAAAAATATACAGTCACCCTTATTTTTTGAGTGCCTTAAGTTCAATTTGTTTACATCATTTATCAAAATCATGAATATTTGCATACTTAAATTGTATTAATAATTTTGCTTAAAAATGAAATACAATGTTTCTCATAAGTTCTTCTTACAGATATTTATAGATCTCAAAAATATAAAAATGCACAATATATCGTACTAATCATCACTCCGTTCAGAATGTAAAAGTTTAGTCGAAGGCCAAATTGATTTTTAATATAGTTTGATAATAGATTGTATTGATATTTATAAAAAAGGCATCGATTTTTACAATTTATTATTTATCATTATTCATATTATGTTTTGTTAAGGTTATTGATATTATTGCAGACTTCCTCCACTTTGTATATATTTTTTTCGTCACATGATAACAAGGCTTGAAAAAATGAGTCACACCAATGCGGTTGAATATCCGACACTTTATTGAGTCCACGAACAGTCATAATAATTGGACTTTGCATGAATATAACATTTGTATTAATACTTATTCTAGGCTGAAACAGTTTGTACGAACTCGACTTTTCTGTTAATTGGAATATTTGCATCTGCGAAAGAGCGTTTTTACTTACTAAACCTAACTGGTCCTCCAACTTTCATAATATGTGTATGAGTGATAAGTATGTCACATGTGCTGCTACAGTCTGTAAACGATAATTTGTGTACAAAAAGCTTACACCACTTACGCTCTCCAACCGTAGAAATTAACAAAAATGTTGGTAGCAAACATTTTTGAATTATTATATTGTACACAATATTAACTAACCGTTTGGTAAATAAGCTATAGACTTGAAAACTACTGAACCAACCGTCACCAAATTTTGCACAAATTATATTCTTTGGGTAGTTTATAAAAATAAATGTATGTTTGTAGCCTACATGGGCACTAAAAAACTACTGATCGAGTTTGACATAACTTACAGAATTTGCTCATAGAGGTACCAGGAAAGTTAGAGTGGAGTTTGAATCATGTTCGAAAATATATCAAGTGCAATATCCAATTCGCCACAGGTGGATTTCCCATCTTGGTTGAATAAGTTCACAATAAGTGTGGTTCACTAAATTGAGGCTATAATTATAGTATAGTATTATACTGTGAACACTCGTATCGCCATATTTTGTATTCGATCTTTTTTTTAAGAACGAAGTCCGACTACCCATCTAGTATAAAAAATAAATAAATGAATATTTAGTGGCAGCTGACGGTGTAATGTGGACTTAGTGTTGAATAACATAACGAACGAAAATATTTTTTATATTTTTTGCATCGTTTGAGATCCTATGGCGTATTCATAATAATATGTCATAATCATTATGCCGTACGAAATATTATAATATTCAACTTTTAAAACAAATTTTACGGATTTATTTTCCAAAATGATCTCTCGACAACCATTATAATAAATAGCTTAGCTTGTACGGATTATTGTTAAATATGAGGGTTAAACGGAGCTTAGGAAGTACTTTATAACAGCTATTATAACGAGGCAAGTCATTAAACTTTGATTATTTTTAGTTATTTTTTTAGTGATAATCTATATATTTAAACTTACGAGCTTGGGTGATTAAAAATAAACAATCCTTGTCGAGTACTCGTTTACTAAATATTTACGAATCCATGATATCGCTACATTTGTGCTGTCACCCGTCAACTATTTATTTAATTCATTTGTTAAGTATAAAACAATCCATTGAGAGAAATATATTATCAACATGATAATATTACACTTATAGAATATAGTCAATAATCATATCATAATAAAAGGTATACAACTCAAGGTTAAGTACATATCTTAATTATAAAATAATAGGTTTTTCGAGTCTCAAAAAAACAGTTTATTTTAATTTCATATAAAATAATATAATATGTAATTGTAATATACCAGTATTTATAATAAACATAGTATGTAACATTATTTTAGCACAACACTTTACAAATAATAGTTTGTAATCCTTAAATTTGTAGTGATATTTATAATATATGGATTATTGATCTTATACCAATATCTAATGGATAAGTTCAGTTAGTTTTTTAATATATTTTAATTTTGATTCAGATTGTTAATGTATACAATTCCTCGTTGATTAATAATATATGAGTAGGTATAACAAAACAATAAATCACATTTTAATTTTTGATTAAACATTAATAATTTATTTAAACATCAGCTGGCTCTGAAAATTAGTGAGTTATAAAATAAAATATTACAAATAATACATACCTACGTATAATAACGAATAACATCATGTATATTTGAATTACATTTTAAATTATAATTAATTTTGTATGTAATTATTTGTAAAATACTACATTTTACGATAAATAAACACAATATTATATCATTGTTAGCAAGATTTTTAATAGGATTAAACGAGGTATTTTTATTTAAGTGTCTCAACAAATTAACTTATCCTTGTAATTATTATATTCAACTATAATAGGTTAAGAAAACAATTTAATGTATACAGTGGGATAAAACTCAACTACCTAAATATGCATAGAAAAGGAAACAACAAAAAAGTTAAACACAATGAAAAATTCGTAATAATTATTAAATATACAAAAAAATTTAACAAGGCAATCCTAGAAAAAATAATAATATAACTTAAATAAAAATTAATGTAAGTAAAAACTCAAGTAAAAAGGAA